CTCGCGAACGGCAAAAAAAGTCAGACATTATACAATTTTAAATAAAAACAATAATCGTGGCTTGATATTGAGTAAGAAAATGTTTTTATGAACCACACAGCTTTGGTCTTCCAAGACCCGACCGGACAAAAAGACGTGGTGCAGGCACAAAACATACTACCAATAGAAATACATTGCTTTTAAAATCATGTGTGACATGAAAAAAATGGGGAAATCGTGTTGGTGAACACGAATCAATAGATTAAATTAATTTCGTGACTATTACACGAAATGCCGTGAGACTGGGTTATTTGTTCAAATTAGAAAGCACAAAGTCATAGGCTGGGTTAGTTAGGTTACTATTCATACACTCTTTACTTCTCCTACTTTAAAAAATATTATCTTGATTTGTTTTTTTCTTTTAGAAGTCCCTACAATTGCAATTTTCCAAAGTTTTGTCGCAGGAGTCCTAGCAACAACTCTCTCCATTATCTTAGCTGCAGCAGTGTTGCACACATACTGGCAGATTTCCAGGAGCTATTTTGGACGAGCACTGGTGAAGCAAAGACTGACACAATTGAACAGTTAGCAGCCCTCTCAGAGACACGGCTATGCATTGTTCAGTCCTGTGTTTACGACACATACACAGTCCTACACACATCACAGCTGGCACTAAGGGCCTGAAGTTTAACTGTCAGACGGTTTAGGTTTCACTGCAGTCTTCAGAACTACAGTACATGGCGTCGCTGGTTTGTCAGGTGAGACATTAAGAGAATCTCAGCTGGTATTATGGGGTATTGTTTTCAGGAATTTACATTATAGAAATAGCAGTTAGCCTTCAATCTTTAGGAGCGATTTCTCTGTCTTAGCTTTCCAAAGGATGATGTTTGAACTTCTGCCAAGACTACCAACCAATCACTCCCGAAAAAAGCAACTCAAACAATGTTTTGTTGTGTGAAAGGGATTTTTTGTGTATAGCTGACCTTCTCTCAACATGCCCACAGACAGACATTTCACGAATCGACAGGCCTGGCAGGATTTCCTTCTTCTCTTGGTGATTTCACATTCATTGGACGCTGGGCAGCTGTATTCAATGTTTCCTGGAGGAGAAGAAGAGAGATAGATAAATACAAAATATATACTTTTTGTTAAATTGCATTGGAGTAATAATTAATCATAGTTGTTGATTAAGTTCTGACAATATTCTCATAATGAGATTCACAATCCTCTTTTCAAAAGCTGAAAATGTGTCACCGCCGGAGATTTTAAAGGAGTCCTGCAGCTATTTATTACTGTACTTATATAACGTTAGGGGAGTCAGTCAAACTGTCAGACTTGAAGAAATTCCTGCCAAGCTAAAGAGGACATACAACTGTTTCACAGGCTGGGTGCGAAACTAGTGCATCTTCAAATTACTGAGAAAAACATGAAGTCTTGTGGTTTCTAAAACACTTTTAAAAGCACATCGTTCAAAATGTTGACTTTCAATCTCAATGACATACAAAAACACAACGTTCCAACAACTAATTAAGAGTAACAGACATGGCAGCCAAAAGTGTGGGTTAAGCCTGATGGCTTTTAGCCAGTTGCAGGCGCTCTCAGCTGCCACCCTCGATCAGAAACAGGAAGTATCTGATGAGCCAAACATCACCAGTTGATCCGACAGCCGTTCATCCGGTTTGCCCTTTGAACTAATTTACAGTAGCCCACTTCTAGGCATAAACACATCCCAGTCTGCCGAGTCCTCGACCTGGGCTGCGAGCCCATAGATCACAGGACACTCCTTTTAATAAACCAGCACTGCATGTCGCTGTCACTAATGGCTTTCAGGAGTGAGGTAGATGCGCGCACATTCAACCCCATATGTTATCTCAAGCTGCAAAGCCTAAACTCAAGCATGTTGACTATATACATGATGCACTGGAAGTTTAACCGCACATTGGCTGTTTGCAAACAGGTCTTTATTTAAAGCTTCTCTGCAGTTAAAGGCAGGGGGCGGAAGCTGTGAGCTAACTGATGAGGTTTGTTTATCCAAAAACAAATGAGTGCATCTGCACCATGTTGCTAGTAAAACAAGTTTATCATGATGCAGGAAGACATTATAAGCAATACACAATAAACTCTGCAACTAATATCCTTTTTCCACTCAAAATTAGCACGTATATGCGGGTGTATTAAACACAGCAAAACCTGCTAAAAATAGCCAATAAACTTCACATTGCCAGGAGACAAGTATGGCTTTCTGTTTTTTCCTTCTTCTTTCTTTCTGTTGTCCCTTTTGACGTCATGGAGATGCCAGAAAACAAGGTTGGTAAAAAGTGCAAAATACTACGGTGGTTACTTTGTTTTTAGATACCTGTTATTATTCAGTCTTTCTTTCAAACTCTCAATCAGAGTGATTGTTGGAAGAGTAGAAAAGACAAACAAGTAGTTGTTGGTAGTATATTTTTAGCCAAAGAGAAATAGACTCATTTATAAAACAAGCGTTAAAAACATGCATCTTAAAATAATGTATTTGTTGTATTGTCTCTCTCTTACCCTGGATGGTCCTCTTGAAAAAGGCCTTGCAGGCTTCACAGGAGGCCACACCATAGTGGTAACCCGAGGCAACGTCACCGCACACCAGACACACACGCTTGGCCACCGAGCCCAGCATGAATTCACACTTCACTTGGGTTTCCTCTTGAACAAACCTCCTGGATAGAGGTGGAGAGGAAGTGAAGGGGTCAAGTGTGTGATATTCATAGCACCTCTATTCAAACGAGAAAGGACAGTTTAATGCAGACACCAACCTGTTTGCTCCTCCATTATTGGCCAACCCTGCTGCGTGACCATAGAGGCTTGGTGAGTCCAGCCCACTGATGAGGTTGTGGCCTTTGATCAGGGCTCCGTAGCTGGAGTTTGTGTCCGAGGAAGTGCTTCCAGGACTGGGCTGGGGCGGGCTGACGTCGCCCTGAGAGCTGGGGCTGGGGCTGGAGGGCTCACGCTTTATAGTGGGGGGACAGGTGGGGTCCAAGCCCCTCACTGACATCCTGCCAAAATGTCTGGAAAGAGGAGGGCAGAGAAGGAAAAATTAGAGAATTGTTAAATTATGGTATAAATGATCATATATGCATCACCAGAGAAGGTAAGTCTCAGTTTGGTTTTCGATAGGATTACGGAAAACCTACTGACCTGGTGTTTATGACATTTGGTGAAAGGGTAAAGCATAAGTCAAGGAAGAACCCATAACATTTTAGAAAAGATCTGATTCACAGGGCTTACACCAATCTTTACATTTGTTAGCATTTAGCCTAGCTGGTTGCACTCTCTGAGTACCCTTCCAGTTCTCTCTCTCTCTCGAGTTACCCTTATATCATGATTCACCTTTGTATTGTTATGAATATGAATAACTGGCTATTATAAAGCCAGGCATCATTAAGACAGACAATAAAAAAATCATCACTTTTAAAAAAACATCACTATTAATCTATGGATTGATGTATTTTGAAACCCCAAACAAACTAAAAAGCTTAAGATATTTATTTCAATCACACCTTTTGCTTCCCAGATGCTTTTACAATCTCTACCTCTCCATCTCCACGCCCCTTCATGCGTCCATCCATCTCAGCCATATCTAAGCCAGCCGTTTGTGATTCCCCATACATGCAAAGCTGCTGTCCATTACACTGCTTTGTTTTCAAAGAAGGAGGTTGCTTAAGCAAACGTAGGGAAATAGCCAAACCAGAAATCATCCGCTTCATCATTATAACCATCCAAATGCGGCCAACTTCTTTGCTTTCTTATTTTATCTTTCTCTCTCATAGTGTCTCTCAGTTACTAATCACTCTAAAGGTCAACATTAAAAATAATCCATTGAACGAGAAATGAACATATGCTTTGAAATTATATAACTAGAAGTCCAATTGTAAGTCCATTTTATGGGGTGTTGAGCATGGACAGGCAACCCCCAAATTAATAACAATTAAAATACATCATACTGTGCTTTTTCAATTCACATATATCTGATTATTTTTCTAATTACAAAAATATACATGCCTTTAGAGACCTAGCATTGTAAAAAAAATACTATTTTTAGAAGAACTATTCCTGCATGTTAAAGTATGTATCATGGCTTTATTATTGGATCGAGATGTAACCACAACAGACTCTCTGTCACCACGGCGAGGAGAAAAAAGCATCTGAAACCAGATGAGGTGTACAATAGGCTCACAGGCATGTGATCTGCGCTCCTACACACACGCTGAACACACATACACACATTGTGGCGTCAGGCGTTCGTGTGTGCATGTAAAAATAAAAATCATAGACGGGCTCCCACTTCTCTACTCACACACTTCAGATTCATGTGATCAGGAACATGTTAAAGCTCCATGCACACACTCACACATACACACAGTCACATTTTAAAGCAAGTGTCTTCATAAACACCCTGACACGTTACTGGTATGCAACTGTTTGTCGCCAGGCCAACTTTTAAAAAGACCAATGCCGTCTCACACACTTCCACATGCAGAGAAAACCACACACACACACACACAGCTGTACATCCCTCTCACTCTAATCTGGGCCCGATGAGGTGGAAGACCATCTCAGTCTGTTTCCTGCCATGTAAATCAGTGTTCGCTCGGCCGCAAGTCATTTGCTAGGCAAAAAGACTGGCTGCGATTAACCACCTCCAGAGTAAACCATGGGCACGCGCTATTGACCACTCTACAAACCCACAAGAGACACACGGACAACAAGTTAAAACACCAAAGGATCTAACAGTAGGTGTTTCTACAGTAAAAATAAGCAAATGGGGCAACATAACATACAGCTAATGCAATGTAATCTTGGCATCTGCTGTCTGAAATGGGCGATCAAATTAACATTTGTGTTTTCACCAGTGTTGGGCAGTGCATAATCTATCCCCTAAATAAGGTTTTTATGGCGTACATTTTGGAAAACATACAGTTCTTACTCAGCAGACACGTAGCAACTATAGCTTCTATTTCGATTTGCTGTGATTGGCGCAGTGATGTACGTTGTAGTGTCACTTAAATCATCCTCAATAAGAGCAGTCAAAGTGAATCAAAATCTTAAAGTTGTTTAACCAAAAGGTGGAGGTAATAATTCACAGTGGGGTTTCCACACTATACCAAGTTATTTGATCCATTGTTGATGCAAAAATATCCATCAGTGCAACTTTACGCATTTTGTTTGGTCGAAAAAAACCTCCCTTAAGATAAAGTAGCCAAATATTGTATTATTTTTCAATCAGAACTGAGATTCAATGCATTCACTACCCGAATTGAAACTTTTCCAACACTACCAAACTCTTTTCTTAAGGTTAGTAAGTAAACTCAATAAGAAATAAACAAGACATTTTAACAGCCCCCCTCCCCCGTTGACATCTCTCACCCAATCCACTTTGAGGACTATAAAAACAGTACAGTGACGAGATTTCAGTTTGCTTTTAAAGTGACTCACTGGTTTACTTATTGGCTATCAATCACAGGCGTCCATATTGCTGTGTCAAGTCTTTGACAGATGCAGAGTGAGATATACTTTGTGCTCCCCCATTATAATGCATCTCAGGGAGAAGGAGGAGAAGGAGGAGGTGCTGTTGTTTTACTTTTATAATGAAATGGCATTAAAGTTGGGCAATCAGATGTGATGTAATATTCACTTTGACAGATTACTAAACTACCGCTCCTAATAAAAGCCCATCAATAGACGTTTGGTAGCTGCTTCTACAGCGGCATGCAGCGGGGATAAATCAGAGTGTGTGTGTGTGTGCGTGTGCGTGCGTGCGTGTGTGTGTCAGTGGGTATTCAAAGTTATCGTACCTTTCTACCCCTTTGTGTCCCGGTATCCAAAACAACTCTAATTGCACCTTGGCAACAAAGACGAATAATTCAGCGTGAAACGACAAGGAGACAGAAAGGGAGAAGAAGAAGAGAGGCGGGAGGAAATTACAAGAGAGTCCGACAGATAGAGGGAGTGTGAAAAAAAAGCCGGGAAAGGACAGAAAGAAAGGGGTTGTGCCTGTGGCTCATTAACCTGGGGGTGTTGAAAGAAAAGAGAGACGGCAACACTCACTTTCAAATGAGCAGAGTCATAATGCAGACAATGACCCAGCGGATGAAGGAGAGGAGGGAGAGAGAAGAAAACAGGGAGGGAAGGGAAACACAGGGGAAAAAGGAAGGGAAGTGACCAAGAGATGTAAAGAAAATGAAGGCGAAACAGGCCTTGGGGAAGCGAAAATGTGACGCTTCAACAAGAAACACAAATACTGACTGACCTTTAGCCCTTACAACAACCCTGAGGAGTATTTATTTAGGTCAGTGGGGTCTCGGTAGTGTTTGTTTTTTTGTGCTAATGAGCCAGTAGGAGATGAGCAGGGATCAGTGGCACCCCAAGCCAGCCGTAAGAGCCTTAGTCAGGCTTTGGTGAAGCTGTTAGCAGCGAGATGAGGTGTCTGTGGCTGCAGACTGGCACCCGCAGGCTCTGGAAACATGGATAGCGTGCCATACAGGGGATCATCTGCGGCCATCGCTGCCTTTTTTTTTTACCATTCTTCATCTGGTTTTCTGTCACCAGCAATCAGCCGACCTGTACGTCCATTTGTCAGCCTCGCCGTCTGTCTGCAAAGCTCATCTTTCTCTGCTATAGGGAACCCTCAGTGCTGGATGTTTTCTCAGAGCCAGAGTGATTATGCCACAGCTGATCAAATCGCAGCGGTGATGATAATGAACATGATTTTTTATGATTACAGAAATGTAAGGCAATCAAAAAGCTGTCCCGGGTAATCAGGCAGCTGCTTCGCACATTTCTTTACAGGCTTTCTGCGGATTTCTGAAGACTTTTACTAGCCTTGGATGTCCCGGGGTGTCTCAAACTGGTCTTCACCACCTCCTCTCACTATAAACAAACAGGCTGAACAATGACAACTGTTAGCATACAAACAAACCTCCACACCAGCCAGGAAATACTCATTGAAACCTTCCCAAAGCACAAAGACGCTTAAGTTTACTCAAGAAAATAAATTCAGCAAGTTTCAGATCTTACAAATAGTTTGGGAGATTTTTTGACCAAAATGCCAAACTCTCTGAATTTCCACATACTAAATATTGGGGTTTGGACCATTATCACCACAAAACAAGGAATTCTTAAGAATTTCGAAAAATAAATGATTATTACTATTTTACAGACAACACTTAAGAAAATAGCTGTCTGATGAAATAAATGTAAGCCTTAAACTGGTAATGAATGGCAAACGTGTACACCATGTTAATTCAAAGGAAGATATAAACGTAAGGATGATTTTAAATGTTCATGGCCTCAAAAAGAAACAATGACATAGTAGATTGTAGTAATTGTAATAACAAATCTTGTAAAAAAGCAAGTCAACGGTTGTTCCCTAAAGTGGAGGAGAATTGAAAATGCTGTAGTAAAATACCATACGTTTACCACTCGTATTGTCCCTTCTTCATTAGACTGGATTTTCTTGAGTGTGATGGACCCTAATTCTCACAATTCAACCCTGTGTGCTTAGTAATTCATACTTAAAATACACAGACGAAGGAAACTGACTAAAGCATCGAAATCAAAAGTACACAGCTCGTGATACCTGGGCAGCACACACAGTAAAGTAATAAATATATAAGATGTATAAGTGAGATACACAAGCAAAAAGATACTTTTGAATATCAAACACCCACACACAAAAACACAATGTCCCAACATTCATACCTTATCTCTACAATTCTAGTTCAGTTTGCTAATACACATTGTTCCTTGTAAGACACTTTATGCTCGCTGTGCAGGGTGGAGGTACTTACTCTGTGTCAGAGTGGTAGGTGAAACACTCTGGGAGGTAGAGGTCGACTAAATCCATGTGCACTCTGCAACCATGCTCTGTAGGGAGAAAAGTGAATATCTGTTTCCCTGCTCTCCTTCTCTGTATCTCGTCCTGTGTTCTATAAGCTGTATGTCTCAGTGCACCGTTTGTCACTTTCTCTTTGCTATGTCTCAAAACTTTGCCTCCATCTACTGCCCTCTCTTCTGTGGTATCACACCTCAGCTGCTCTCATTGTCCTCGCTCGTGTGTGTCTTCCTGTCACTCACACTCACACACACTCTGGCTGCCTTTGAAGTCCTGGCTGTTGTGACTAGCTGGCTGTGTGTGACAAGGGTCTCCAGGCTGAAGCTGGCCCTCATGAATCCTCAGCCACACACATTTGAATGGCCTTCCCCCAGCAAGCTAGGCTGCCAGCTGATTGGCTGTACTCTAAGCCAATGAGAGCCATCCTCTCACTGGGGCAGGTGGAGATGACAACAGAGGATGTTTTAGGTTTTAATTCTTAGAAAGAACCCTTATGGAGAGAACTTTATATGTGGATGTGAAAATCCCCAAATACGTTAAGATTTAAAGGGTCTTTGCAGTCTTTGTGTTACTATTTTTATTGAACAATTAATTAAACCTCAGTGAATGTTATTCCATAAACTGAATTGTGATAAAATAAACACTACTAGAAATATGTCTTTAATTGTTAAATTAGATCAAATGAATAGGTAGACACCTTGAATATATATATATATATATATATATATATATATATATATATATNCAACCCAGTCTCACGGCATTTCGTGTTATAGTCACAAAATTAATCTATTGAATCATGATCACCAACACCATTTCCCCATTTTTTTCGTGTCACACTGAACGATTTTAAAAGCAATGTAAATAATAACAAACTGGAAGGAAAAAATGATTTGAAAAAATACGTTCAGTGTGACACGAAAAAAATGGGGAAATGGTGTTGGTGATCATGATTCAATAGATTAATTTTGTGACTATAACACGAAATGCCGTGAGACTGGGTTGAAATATGGTGGTGACATACGTAGGCTACTACTCAGAGAATCTGTGACAGTAGTCAGGTGCTCCTTTAGTCTTACAGTGCGCCAGTCTGATGACATAGCGCCCAGATTTAGAAGTGACTCAAAAAGGAAAACATTAGCGACCTACTACTGTAACGGATACTGCTGCATGCAGTGTCGGGCCAATAGATGATAAAAAGAGTGGAGAGCAGATAAAACATACGTGTCTCTTTGTCCGTGGTGGGTACAGTTTTAGGGTAGAAGAATAGTAACTAAAGCATTTAAGTGTACACCATTTAATTAATTGGAGAGTTATTGAAAAGGGGGGAAAATGCTTAGGCCTACTAACCGGATGCTAACAATCTCTTAGTTAGCTCGTTTGCTAACGTGATAATATGTTTACACAATTTATTAAAAAAGATTAAATGTAGGCCTATACACTAAACTCTTCTCCCCAATTTATTATTTTGTGAAGAAATGTACATAAGCTACATGTTAGCCACACATATCTTGAAGATAAAATGAAGTCAAATGTATCATTAGCCAATAAGTTTCTGTTGTTTACATTTTGTAACATATGGTAGTGCGTAAGCCATTCATTACAATCATTTTAGGTGTGATCACTTTTGGTTTTACCTCAAATAATGTGAGAATTATTAACTTGTTTACAACCTTTTCGCTATTTTATGGCATTGTCAGACTTGTTTTAGCGATGTCACCATATTCCATAGCAGTATTATTAGAAGTTTAATGCTATCATAACTTATAGAAACGTTGTCTAAAACTGTGAAAATAAGATCCAAGGTATTATTGACTTGAATGATTCTTTAATCCCAACTCATCTTAAAACACATAACAGCATCTGTTTATTGTTGCTGCGTGTCTCTGTATGTTTAACTAGATAAACAGATTCATGGCATCTTTACACACGTATCAGTTTGTGTATATGAGTTTGTTTATCACATTTCAGCCTGCACTCACATTTAAAGGCACACCTCTATGTTTGTGAGTGAGTGTGTGTCTGCCATTTTTCTAAATTAGCTGCTTTTAATAGGGTAAGGGCATCAACAGCATCCCATTCTGCCTCTCAACCCCCTTCTCCTCTTGCCACCCCCTTTTGCTTTCCCTTCCCCCTCGTAAATTCCTCCAGATGCCTTGTGGGATTCCTGGACCTCCGTGAAATGCGAACTGCCCCTCGTAACTCTGATCGTAAGCGCCCTCATAACGCGCTTCATCGTGTCTCGTAATGCCCCTCTTCCCCGAGAGGCCGCAGTAAAGGCTGAGACAGAGGAGCTGTGAGGTTTAATGGGAGAGTCAGGGCCATATTAAATATACGGCTAAAAGACATATAGACCTGGGGCAGGATTTGATTAAGCCCTGTTTAGTGTTCAATACTACAGTTGCTGTCACTTCTAAGGCCAGTTAAACATGTATTTTGGCAAAATGTGTGGAATATTTTTAAATTACAGTTCATCATACAGATGTAATTGCTCCTATAAGATATTGCAAGTGGTGCTGCAATACCTCTAAGGTACCTTCTTTATTTTTCCTTAACCGTGTCATCCCACTTCCTGCTGCCGGAAGCTATTTGGTCCAAGGTGTGTTAATCATCCCATGTTAATCTGTATTCTGAGAAACGCAGAACAGTGGGTTTATGCTGGCTTTTTGCCGCCAACTTTCTAAATCCTTTTCATTTGAGAAGCAGTGTGCAGGTAATTTAATGCGACAGTGGTTTTGTGTACATTTGTCACAATATCATAAAGCATGGGATTGTTTATACTGAACACATGCTGGTAGTGGCATTAGTGATGGAGGCTGATAGATCAGTCCGGATAAGCGGCTTTGTGTCAGTGTTCCTCATCCTGCTGCTCTGTGACAGTTTTCAAAACCTGTAAAGATTCCCATGTGAAGTTCCAGACACTCTCAAAAGAGGGCTGAGTGATGAGAGCAGGGAAAAATAGATCAATGTCTGAGTACTCTTTGTTTATTGAACTCTAGTGGGCTGTACAGAAGAACAGGGAGGAGGTGAATGTGTGCCTGTTATCCACCAAAGCTATTCTAGGCCTTTTGGTTGTCAGCACATTCCACAGTGAAGAGTTACACTTAACCCTGATGTGTGCGTTTGAATAACTGTCAGATCTGAGCACAAACATGCACACAAACGTACCCGTATAAAACAAACTTTTCTGACATATCGAATGACCAACGTTGTTTGATTCAATCCATTGTTTGCCGACAGTTGGTATTAAATCAGATGCACAAGTAAGCGCCCTCATCCCTTATCTCATACCTCAGAGTGGCACTTGCCTAGGGACCAGGGTAATCCACACTTACTATTTGCCCCCGATTACATCATCGGAGGAGGATCAGGGGGGAATGAGTTTACACACCAATCCCTTCTTTAATTCCCCACACATCTTGAGTATGATTTCTTCAATACCACCTACTTACATTTGACACATTATTAGAATAAAAGCTATCTATAATCCATACCTTATAACACATTCAAACACTGTTGAACCATAATTTGTGAAGGGAAGTATGTGATATACATTTTTTACAATTGAGCCACAATCAGAGGAGCTGAAAGACAAATCCCTTACTTGAAATATACAAAATGAATTAGAATTGCGATTAGAAAATATATACATTACTGTAAAAAAAACTTTTAAGGAGGTGTGTTTGTGGAGATTTTGCAAGCATCCATTTGTCACCTTTACTGAAACATATAACAAATATGTCGTGGTGGAAGAGCATGTTAGTTTACAGCAAAGGTCATGAATCAATTTCTCAAACCTTCGCTTCGTTATGAGAGGCCCTTGCTTTCCATCATACCTCAGTTCACGGTACATTAAATAATAAACCTGAAATTCTATAAAAATTGTTGTTAATATAATGGCTTAACTATAAAATGACACAAAATGGCTTTTCAAACCAATGATGCAAAGATATGAGAACATTGTTCAACCCAACGGCAAATTTCACCTGCCTGATTTAAAGGTTATTTAATGAGCATGTTAATGCATGCTCTCCATAAATATGTGCATAAGTAAGAATAAGTCCAGGAGGAAGCAGGCTCAAAGGGATGAAGTGTCACAGTGAGGTGTCAAGTGGGCAAATAATACCCTCAGAGTGCCATTATAGATCTATCCAGGGTCACTATGGCCTCTGTGTGGACTAGTAACCCAACACCACTACTGAAGGCTCCCTGAGTCACGTTCACTCACTGGACACATTTTCTTTAGAGATACACCTGGTGAATGTTATTCTCAGTTACCCCCCGTGCACACACACTCAGTCACACACTCTTAAATCCCCTTCTCTGTGGTGACAAGTCTACCATAATGCTCGTTAAGGTAGGCAGTTGTCATCAGTGGCTCTGAAGTTGTCTGGTGTCGTGTTACAGGATGCGTGCTGCTGTGCCAGCGTAAGACATGTTGCGTCCATGTCTCCTTGAGATCTTTGGGACATGGGAGTGGATGATTGGTCGATGGTTGACCGTGTACAATAGCTTTTGATAACTGATTACATGAATGAACGGTAACACTCCTTTTAGCAACGATAACAAAATATAATGAATTTTAAAAAATGCCATTCTACTCACAATTACTAATAATATTAAACCTCCAAACTAACCCTGATTTTCTCTGTAATCACATCATCTAGATGCATTTGTATGCACCCGCAACAACGATATCAGTGTGCAAAGGCAAAATGTATTCTCGTTGTCCCTCCATTGGTCCTTCCAATTCACAGAGCAAATATTTTCAAATTCGGCACAAACCACATGTTTTTGGCCATTATTCAAGAATTAATATGCTAATTAGAACAATTTCACAAAATAATTCTAAATGGGTGAAGTGGAGACATTTTCAACAGACAAAGATGTAAACACGCAACCTGACATGTTGGCGCACTGAGTCAGTAATTCTACCTAATCATTAAATAAAAAAACGAATATATATATTTTTCAATAGTGTTTGAAATATTGAGTACATATCTATTCAGTCCATATGAGTGACTTTAATTAGTGATTTAAAGACAGCCAGTTGTGAGTATTGTATTTGTGTATAAATAGAATTGCCTCATGAATGTCCTGTTGTTTGTGTTTCTGAAGGTGTTCGTCTGGACCGGGTTCGAGGCGGCAGACAGAAATACAAAAGAAGAATAGATGCGGAGAACAGCCCGTATCTGCACCCACAGAATGCCTTACCTCAGAAAAGAACATGTAAGTGTAAGGAACAAAAGCTTGTATTAACTGTATTCATTATATTACCCATTAAGAAAGTGACTGTAGAACATAATTGTTGAGTCGATGTTGATGGATTGCTTGATTGTAGATATTAGAGCCTCTGGTTTTATCCGTAATGTGTGTGCAAGTACACATTTCTGTGATGTGATGTTGTCTGTTGCAACACTAAATCATTTTTATAGCTTGCATTTGCTAATGAGTTGGCATCAATCAATGCCAACTTTAGTTTTATAAAGTGAGACGTGAGACGTGAGACTTTTTAATTGGCTGAAATGAACATTGTTGCCATGCTTTACATTCTGTCAGGAAATCTGGACCTTTTTCTCAACTTGTAACAACTGCTAATGATTCAAATTTTCATTTACATCGGTTCATATTTTGGTCTACAAAATGTCAAAAAAAAGGGGAAAATGTCCATCCTGAGGCAATTGCTTTATATTAGCTCATTTAACTGAGTAAAGCAGAACATTATCCACATTTGAGAGGCTAAAAATTACATTTTCTACAATTTTTGTTTCAAAGATTACTCAGTTATAAAAGTAGATATGTTTTCTGTCAATAGTTATCAATAAGTGGCCTAAATGTTGCAGCTCTAGAGTAAAGTAAAACAATCTTAATTTGAAAACTCATGGTTTTTACTGGAAAGAGGCAAAATAAAAGTGAATTGAAAAAACAACGTCTGTTCTTCGTGTACTCAATATATTGCATTTAATGATAAGTTGGTTATGATCACACAAATGTAACGTATGTTTCCATCTTTCTCAGTCACTGTTGGCGGTGTGGTAGAGAACAAGGTGGTTTCTCTGCTGCTGGTGGCCGAGCCAGAGGGCATCTTCGCCATGCCGGACCCCACGGTGCCCGAGAGCGACATCAAGGCTCTGACCACGCTGTGCGACCTGGCCGACAGAGAGCTGGTGGTGAACATCGGCTGGGCCAAACACATCCCAGGTACCATCAGTCAGGCCGGCAGTTGTTCGTTCACACACTCCACCGCAGACATTAGCTCACATTAAGTCTGTAATCAGATCAGAGGAGGAGATTGTTTTGACTTGCGGTTGCCAAGATGCCCAGAGGACAGAGGGCATGTTGGTGCGGCTGTGTGTTATCTGTCACTTATCCCCTGTGTGTGTTTGTGTGTGTGTGTGTGTGTGTGTGTGTGTGTGTGTGTGTGTGTGTGTGTGTGTGTGTGTGTGTGTGTGTGTGTGTGTGTGTGTGTGTGTGTGTGTGTGTGTGTGTGTGTGTGTGTGTGTGTGTGTCTGCTGTGTGCGTTGGTGTGTGTGTGTGCGCCATGCCCTTGCTTACCAATGTGCGTCCCTAATAAATCAACGTGATGACCAGTGGCTACCTGGAAGTTTTAATTCATTTCCTGGGCAGCGGACGCCTATGAATTACGGAAATCCTCCTGACACTTGGACCACACTTAGCTTCCCCTCTGACACAGGAACCGCAGTAGGAACGTTTATTTACCCCCTTTGGATGAGATGATGGAAAGAAGAGGGGAAGTGCATTCTGACAGTTTAGCGGGATTAAAACTGTGGTATGCAGCTATGCTGGTGGTTGTAATCGTATGCGGTGGCAACAGAGGTTTGCAGGTCTGCTTTTGAGACTTGGCTTTGAAAACCGTTACACACACACAAATGAAAAACAGCACCTGGATTTATTCAGAGGCCCTTTTCACACTCTGGCAGTTGTGTTCTGGGCCACCCTGGGGTGTGAGCTGCTCTCAAATGACAAACTAATATATTTTTCCATTGACGATTTAACATAGCAGAAGTTGGTGTCTTATTACTATTTAACCATTAGTGCACACCAAGACATACAACAATAATACATCTTGTACATTATTTATTTAGCAGATACCAGTTTTTCTATCTCTAATTTTACTATCTCCCACTTTCTCTTCTGTGTATTTTTTCCTCTAATCTACAATTTTCCTTAACTGAAGCCCTGACTGCTTTATCAGGTGTAGTTATACACACCCAAAACATCACCAGGGTAACACCTGGGTTTTTTGTTGATGTCCTACCTTTGATATGCTTACAAAACAAACAAAGCAGGTGTGTGTGTGTGTGTGTGTGTGTGTGTGTGTGTGTGTGTGTGTGTGTGTGTGTGTGTGTGTGTGTGTGTGTGTGTGTGTGTGTGTGTGTGTGTGTGTGTGTCGTCGTCGTCGTCGTCGTCGGTCGGTCGGTCGGTCGGTCGGTCGGTCGGTCGGTCGGTCGGTCGGTCGGTCGGTCGGTCGGTCGGTCGGTC